TGACAAAAACAATGATTTTTCCTAATTTAATATTTTTTTAAAAAAATCTATTTTTTTCTTTAAATTAAAAGATGAGTCATTTTCAGTATATCACATCAATTTAGAGGTAGTACTTAGAATAGTAGAAGAGAAATTGTGTTTGAAATTCATCGTGGCTTGTAGTACGTGGTACATGGATTGTCACAAGGGCAGTTGTGGATTAGAATGGTGACCACCAAGGGCCAAGGCCATGGGACACATAAACATAAAGTCACGTGGACCGCGCAGCTGCACGTGATTCCACACTTGACCTAGCTAGCTCTTTCAACTTAAGGATTAGCCAAACAGCCCCTTATCCCTTTCGGTCTGGGCATGATTTGATGTGAATTATTATTATTATTATGGGGTCCACCAAGATAGCACCAAATCACATACTTGCTCCTGAGAGGTCCCACGTGGACGGCCTCGCTTGAGCCAAATCCTTTCCTTTAATTTATTTTTATTTAGATGAGATTAGAAGATAAAAGCAAAAGGCAAATTGCATAGATGTGTCAATTGGTTTAGTTGGCTTTAATTTGGAATGATTTTTGTCAAATAAAATTTTTCTTATATGGCAAAATCACATATCAGAACATGCAATAAATTTGTCACATTACAAGCATGTAATTATTTCGCGAATAATAAATGTAGGAGTGTGTATTATTATTATTATTATTATTATTATTATTATTATTATTATTATTATTATTATGGAAAAATTGTATTTTTATATTTCAGTTATACCCGTGATACAGACTTAGTCTCTAAATTATATATGTGACCATCTTTAACACTTAAGTTATGTACAAAGTGGCGAGTTTAGTACTTGAATGACTAAAATCTGCCACTTTATTAGGTAACATATTACTATATTAGTGATAGAAATAATCCCCGAGGAACTAAATTCTCCACTTTGATTCTAATTTAAGGAATGAAAATGATCATACATATAATTCATAAGCCTATCTCACGGATATAACTGAAGAACCAAAAAAATGTAATTTTTCAGCCTTTTCTGACTACCTGCCTACTACAAACCATGCCCAAAATGTAATTTTCTTTTTAGCTTTTTTTGACCTTTTTTTTTTTGGTGTTTTTTTTATTTTTATTTTTTGGGGTCTATTTTAGCTCCTAATATGATTATAAAGTAGACCACAACTCCCAAAAGGACCATTATTTTTAACTTGGAATGCATGCTTGAAAGTTTTTTTTTTTTTAAACAATGCATGCTTGTAAGTTGAAACCTAAATACATAGTTAATTAGTTATATATACACCTTTTACTCTATAAAGATCATATCAAAGACAATGCATATATTTTTATTTCAAGTACCTAGTAGTAGTGATTTTGTAATAAATATTTGTCCAAATAATATCATATTAATATAATTTTCATATTTATTAGTTACTTATAAATTATTTGACTTTTATCACAAATAAATCAAAAAAAATCACATTACATGGTGATAGATTTAGTATAATTTTTTTTAATTATTTATATAACATTGTCCTTTTTCTATTTACTACAATTTTGAAATCTAAATACTTTATTTATGAACTAAATATCCGTCTCATTTCTATGTATTATTACTTACCAAAATTGTCAATTTGATTATGAGTAGGAATTCATGACATAAGATTTATCATGCACCTAGGTCTCCTAGCTAGGCTTTAATTTGTATTTGTATTGTGCACTATATGATATAACATGTGAAATGATAATTCACGCTTTCAAAAATGAAAATGATGTTTCTTTGGACTTGATAAATAGGGTAGCTATGAAAGAAAAATTAAAATGAACATAAATGTTAAGTCACATGCATGTTCATTTAGTATGCATATTAACATCAATATATGATACATTTATCATTATAAGCCTGATTATTATACATATATTGTGATAAGAGTATTATTCTTAGTTAGAATTAAGATTATGCTTGATTAATCTTTATAGATTTATTAAAAGATAAAGCTAGTACGACCAAATCCATCTAGAAATTAATAAAAGCCTATTCTAAGTTGGCAATTTGAAGTTATTAACCTACCACCTTGTTATGGATTAAGACCCAAAAAAAATGTTAACGTTATGGTCCAACACAAATAAGGAAATCAATATCCTAAAGCAAATAAAGTTGAATTCATATCCCATGAACTTGGCTATCGAAGAGGATGCCTCATTGACAAGAATTAACTTGAACCTTCCAGGGGCCAGCCTTGGCATTCAACTACTAACCCAAGAGTTAGAAAATGGCATCGTTGTATGGATAGGCTAGTAACAATGGGGGTACATAGCTCTGCTAAGCCCGACGTAGCAGGTGGTCACTACTAGCCCATATGCTCATAAACCGCCCCCCCCCCCCCCCCCCCATGCAACTAAGCACTTCTTAAGTTAGGTAGGCAGCCCAAGGAGCCTGTACGTATGGAAGGCAACTCAATAAGGCCTACATGTATGGAATAAGGCCTACATGTATGCAAGGTAGCCGGAAAACATCCTTGGTGGGTCCACCGGCTGGGAAAGCAACCCAAGGAGGCAATGCAAAGAAGTGAAAATTAAAGCATGTGCTCTCAACTGGATTCCAAGCAACACGTGGACCGTAGTCGCTTATAGGGTGATGATAGAGATTCAAACCCATGACCTTTGATCTGGCTCTGATACCAAATTGAAGCATGTGCTCCATCTCAACTAAAAACCTAAGCTGATAGTTAGATTGCACATCAACAGTGAAGACATAAGGAGAAAAATTTAGGACGCCCCACGTCCCAAGGATCGGAGAGGGGTCATAAGGGTACCAATTACCTAGGGGAATAGCAAAGCTTGAGATACAAACTAATGTGTTGATATTTGTTTTACGAGGAGATTGTCAACTCATTCATCATTTTGAGGAGAGTCAATTCATATGGTGGGATAGTTCTCATTTCCATTTGACAAAGGCAAGTGTTTGATTTGAGGACAAATCTTCTCAAAGAGTGAGGGAAGGTTGAGAATTAAAGCATGTGCATTTTAAATTTAAAAAAAAAAAAAAAGAACTAAAAATATCACCCTTTCAACATGCATTTAAGATATAATAAAATGAGTCGGTTGCTTAACTTTGCATTTGGAGGTCTTTGACACTGCAAATAAATTTTCAAGTAGAGTTTATGAAGACCACTTTTGTGAGGAAAATTTCTAAGTTGATTGTGCCTCAATGGGTCATTACTTTGGCTCAAAATCTATTGGAGAATGTCATAGATGGTCCAAAATTCATGGCTTAGCTTGGGAAAAGTCAAAAGAAGTTGAAATCAAGTCACTTAGGCAAATAAATTCCCATTTAGTTTAAATTAATGGGAGTGTTTGATCTTCTTTGAAACTGATGTAACAACCTAGTATAAATGATAAACATTGTTTTCTAATCAAGGGAGAATAGATTATTGAAGTTGAATTCATTTGGTTGTGTACTTTGCACCTTCCATGTCCTCTTTAGCATTCTAAGAGGAATTTTAACTTATCAAGGATATCACGCTCCTTGTGACGTCACAATTGACCTTATTACCCTTTAACTCGGTGTAGCAGCTTCCCTACTATACATGTCTTCCATCCATTTCACAAACCCCACTTCAACCAAAATCCACCAAAAATACCTCCTACACTTCAAGAAATCAATTAGACAAAAGACTAAAAAATGGAACGTGACTTGTGTTGTGAGTTCTTGGTCGTGAATCTAATATCAAGCCGGGGAATCAATATCAAAAAGTGTTTGTTACACACAACTTGGATTTTCCTTTATTCTTCACGTACTCTACAACTATTGTTGTTCATAGAATTATTTCTAAACTTAAATACCGATTTTTTATTTTTTAAACTTATTCACCAACAATAATCAATAATCAATAATGTGAATAATATTAACTAAGAAGAGAAATTTTACAAATTACAAATACTATTAAGGGAAAAACTTTCAATTTGAAATACATAAATAAATTTTATAACTTTAAAATAATTTGCAATCTTCATTTAAATCATTTTACTACTTTTGATTATGTTGGTTAGAGCATGAGACTTAATTACTTATTGTAAGATTAATTTGTGTTAGTTGGAGAATGATAACGTACTTATTAGTTATGTTAGATCATAAACTTTATTATCTTAAAATCTAATTTATAATTTTAAATTTTTATTTATGATTGGTTTATCTAATTAGTATTATTAATTTTTGTGTATTACAATTATTATTATCATTATTAAAATAATTAGCATTTTATAACAAAAATAACTCTATAATATTCTTTCTGTTAATTTTTTCAAAAAATAAAGTAAATAAAAATCATTTTCTAATTTTCAGTTAAAGAAAAAAGTATAATTTTCTAACTTTCAACTAAATACTAAAAAATAAAAGTATTTTTTGAAAAAAAAAATATTTTTTAAAAATTATTTTACAATTTTATAAACGGACATGTGATGCATTTTTTCTTTAATAATTGAAAATTAAATTTGATTAATTTTGAAGTTAAAGACCAAAAGAAATACAATAGTTATGTGAGTGGAACAAGAATTAATGTGAAAACGTTGATGTTAGACATAGTGCTAACGATATGCATTAAAGAGTAGGTCCCTCTACCACTTGTCCCGTTCATTTCGAACATGATCTATCATCCTCAACTCCCAAAATTAAAGTTGGAATTTGATGCGATATGGACTTAGTTCAATGATTCAGTACTCGGGATAAGAGATTAATGTTTGAACCTTGACAGTACTAATATTTGGCTTTGTTTACTGAGTCATTGAGTCACCGTAATTTATATTCTCCTAAATGTTTTATCAGGTCGAACTACGAAAATCCTTAGGGTTGGAGATTCAACATTTTGAGAGAAGAAAAGTTGAAATTTGACAAAATAAACCATGGTGAAGGACTTTACTAATTCTACTTCTCTTGAGTATGGTTAATGCCTAAGATAAATTCCCAGAAAAAAAAAAAGAAAAAGAAAAAGAAAAAGAAAGGAGAGCTTTTCAGCCACCTTCTAAGAAATACTCTCTTTCCCTCTACAAGAAGAATACATATTTTTTTCTTCTCTTCTTGGAGCTCTAAAACTTGCACTCCTCTTTTTTGGGAAAGCTAGAAAAACATGTGGAATGCCACTTGTTGTTGGTGAATTTCAAATAATAATTAGTATAATAATAAAATAAAATAAAAAATTATTACTGATACAGTGCAGTGGAAATCTTGAAAAGATTGCATCTACTGGAGGTGGTATTGGAGCTTGAGTTGCTTTTTTGATGATGTTTAAGAGGTGGGTTTACGTTTTGTTTACTTATATTTGTTTTCTTTTCTTTTGATGGTTGGTTTCTGTTAATTAGTTGATAAAAATATTGTAAATTGGTGATTAATTTAGAAAATATTGTGTGGGTGCTATGGGGGTTTATCTTCTAATGATTCAAATTGATTTATGTGTTTTTTTAAACACAAGAGAAGCTGAAAGCCTGAAATTGATAGGCTATTATGAGTATTGTAAAAACATATATAGGTTTTGACTAGGTTAAATTAAATGTTTCATCATATCACTGTTGTGGATTTTATATAATTCTTTACTGATTAGGACACCAGTATATGGAGGTTGTAGTATTTTAATTTGGGTTATGGGGTTTTGGAACTGTGCAGCTATTATTAGAAAGAAAGAAAAGATAGCATTGAAGAAGACAGCAAATAATGGCTGAAGTGAAGGGAAGTTTTGTGCAGTGATTATTCACCTTTCCACCATGCCTCTCTCTGAGTTTTTGAAGTTGCATAATCTTGAGTTTGGGGAGCCAAAAACAGCTTCATCTTCGCCCGATTTGTGAGTAAAATCTGATCTATTATTATCCATCCATCTTGATCTTGTTGGTGGTAATGGGAAATGGATCAATAGCTAGTTGTCTTGTTTTTGTTTTTGTTTTTGTTTTTGTTTTTAATGTTGCGATGTTTTGAGACTTCTGCTTGGGTTGATTTGCAGTTTAGAAAATGAAGTGGTTGAGCTAGTATGGGAAAATGGCCAGATTGTTATGCAAGGTCAGTCGAGCAGAGGTAAGAGGAATCCTACTTCTAACAATCTATCCTCGGAAATGCCCGTGATTCGAGACAAGCCTAAAGAAAATCCCTCCTCCCGGGGGATCCGAGGAAAGGCGTTTTTAATGGATGAAATGGCGTTATCTGTACCCACCAATGAAATGGATTTGAGCCAGGATGACGAGATTGTGCCTTGGTTAAATTACTCGCTAAATAACAATAGTCTGCAGTATGAATATAGTTCTGGAGTAGTACCTGAAGCATCTGGTCTGTCAGCAAACGAACTTCCTGCACAAAATAATTTCGTTTCGATGGATAAGACAGATGGTTCTAATCTGATGGCAGTGAATAATTCATCACCGAGAAATGATAATAGATTTGGGCTGTTCCCTTCGTGGTCTTATAAAGCTCACCACCCATCAGTTCCATCCCTGGGATCAGATATCGGAATTAGTAATGCCAGCAACAACCAAGATTCTATTTTGCGAGATTCAGTGGATACGAAGATGCAGAAGCAAGAATCAAGCATTCTGGGAAGAGGCCCCCCCGGTTTATTAAATTTCTCTCATTTCTCAAGACCAGTTTCACATGCCCGAGCTAATACTGGGAACATTGCGGCTTCACCTGCAATAGAAAATAAAGAGAAAGAGCTAAGTGCAAATTGGCGTAATCCTGTAAATCCTGCACCTGCTCAAACATGTAGCACCTCAAAAAGGGAAATGGACCGTCACAATCAGCCTGATTTACAATGTTTTAAGATCGACCACAGACCAGTTATTGCCAAGACTCATGATACGTCTTTGAGTGAGGATATGAAAAAGAATAACAATAACAATAACAATAACCAGTATGGTCAACCCATTGATCCAGTTGTGAACAAAGGAGTCTTAGGTGGTGATAAAGCTGTTGAACCTGGGGCCGTTTGTTCTTCTGTATGCTCCGGCAGTAGTCCAGAGAGAACTTCAAACGATCAGTCCTATACTTTAAAAAGAAAATATTGTGATCTCGAGTCTGGAAGCCAAAGTGAAGTATGTTATGGTGTTGAATATCTCTTTCCCTTAATGTCATTACATAGTCTATTTTTACGATGTCACCACAATACAATTTTGTGTTCAGGATATTGAAGAAGAATCTCTCGATGTGAGAACAGAAGCTCCTGTTCGAGGAGGTACTGGGTCAAAAAGAAGCCGAGCGGCACAAGTGCACAACCTATCTGAAAGAGTAAGGAAAACCATCTGAGAAATGATAATTACCTCATGCTAGATTCTTATTTATACAGCTGCTTTTTTTTTTTACCCTAAACCGTATAAATGGATACTTATTAACAAAAAATTGCAAACAGCGGCGGAGGGACAGGATCAATGAAAAGATGCGTGCATTACAGGAACTCATACCTAACTGCAATAAGGTAATAAAACTGTCTCATTATTGATGTTGGCTCACCGACTTTTTCTGTGTGTGCCTTCAGTCTACAAATATTTACTAAAAATAGTAGATTGCTCCAAGCTTTAAGGTAGGAAATTCATAAGAGTTAATTTCAGCGGATGTCCCTTGTCTTTTGTGACAATTCCACATTTAGTTCTAGACTATCGTTTTTGTCATTTAACATCCCACATTATTGGGCATAATTTTTACACTGGGGGACTCAGTGTAATGGTTTTTTGGTCAAAGTACATATGAGATCCCTATACTATAATGTTTTGTTCAATTTAGTCCATAGTCTGGGGTGTTAAATGGCAAAAACAATAGTCTGAGACTTAATGTGGAATTGCCACTAAAGATAAGGGACCTACGCTGGAATTAACTCATTCATAAAAATAGAAACTATTTCCTTCACTATTGGTCATGCTGATAAAAGTAGCTTACCCAAATCAATCATATTGGAGTTGTCCTCTTTGAAGTAACATGTTTATTATTTGCATCTTATTTCCAGACGGATAAAGCTTCAATGCTTGATGAAGCTATTGAGTATTTGAAGACACTTCAATTTCAATTGCAGGTAAAGTGGAGTTTCTCTGTTGATTTCCATTGCTTAATTTTGTTAAATTTCCAAATGTCTAAAGAGGAATATTTCATTGTCCATTTCCAGATTACTTAACCGATAAAATGACATGAAATGGACAATGTTTGGTTTACCGTTAGAGCTTTGGACACAAAGTGGACTGAACAAGCTCTGATATCATGTTATAATAATAATCTAAGATTGGACTATAATGCACAAGCGCCAAACCACACTAAAATATCGAATCCAATCAATTAGTTAGTTTAACACATGACCTTATAAACCCATATGTTCGTTCTTATATTTTTAATCTGGGATTCTTAACAATCAACATATAAATCTTCCTTCATCTGCTAATCTTTATTAGCTTCACAATTTGTTGACCTTTGCAGCCTGGCATTTCAAATTTCTTTTCATATTGTATAAGAATACATATAAACATAGGTCCATTGACAGTGAATACCAACTTAATGCAGATTATGTCAATGGGAGCAGGTTTTTGTGTACCTCCAATTATATATCCAGCGGGTATGCATGCCACTCAGATGCCATATTTTCCTCCTATGGGTCTTGGGATGGGAATGGGAATGGGAATGGGAGTGGGAATGGGAATGGGTTTTGGTATGGGTATACATGAAATGAACGGTAGATCCCCTGGATATCCTTTATTTCCAATATCCCCTATGCAACGAGTACAACTGTCTTCCCTGCCATTTTCCGGGCCTAGTACCTTTCCAGGAATAGCTGCATCTAATTTTCCAGTTTTTGGACATCCCGGTCTAGGTATTCCCATATCAATCCCAAAAGCACCTACCATTTCTAAATCAGGGCAACCTGCCCGTAGTTCAGCTGTGGGTATGGGTGCCTCAAGGATGGGAATTCAAGTAGAAGTCCCATGTACATCTGCTACATTGAAACCTGAGGATCTCGTAAAGACCAAGAGCTCACAACTGATGAACAATACCGACCCCAATCGATCAATAAATCAAACATCATCTCAGGTGTGTGCCTATTCATCACTTATTGACCGTTTATAAGCTACCAAGGTGTGATTTCATATATGTTGCATTACTAGTCATCAATTTATTATTATTATAATCTTTTTACCTCATAATTTCTAAAATATGCCTCATTACTTCTCATTGTAGAGGAAAGCGTAGTGGTTATTTCAGGAAAGATGACTAATTATGACAAAATGGTGCAAAATGGTGATCAACTACTTCATGATTGTGACAACCCAACCGTTAACTTCACGAGCTCAACTGGCAGTGAAGCTGGTGAGTTTTTTCTTTTACAAATGGCTTCCTCTATCTTAGTGGGAAATGACACGAAAATGAAGTTAAGCATTGTTGATTTGTGGGATTGTTTAGTTCCTGGCATAGGGGGTGTTATAATTGGGCCAAGGTCACTCAACTGGGCTATAATGCACATGGGTCAAACCAGTGAAACCACACTAAAAGACTGAATCCAATCAATTAGCTAGTCTAATCCATGGCCTTATAAACCTATATATTCTCTATTTTCTTTGATGTGGGACTCTTAACAGGGTTGTTAGTCCCACGTTGAATCCCAAACGGTGGGGATAAACTAGAGGTGGACATGGGTGTGGGACATCAAATTATCTAAATCTTTGAGACAAACATATATAATGACAGATGAGTAATCCTTTCACTATGCCATTTTGAACTGAACAAGCTCATTCTCTGTTTGAATGTTTCATCACCCCAGTCGTTAATAGAGGGGCCGTCTTTTGTAATTTAGGCATCCATGTGAGCATGTCTATGCTTATGTAGGGATTTAATAAGAGCAGCTGAACTGAAAGAACCGATTTTTTATTATTATTATTTTTTTTTATGCAGCTTCTGATTAGCAGTGGGCACTATATGATGTGATTAGTGAAAGGGACTGATTTTGGCACTATTAGTCCCTGCCTCCACTCAAAGGAGATTCAACGCCCTGTTAGAATGAGGCTTTGTATTTGTACATTGATCATAACTTAGGCAGTTTGGGTGGATCCTTTTTCCTTCCTCCTTCAGTATGATCTCTTCCCAGTGCTTTCATGTCCATCAGATGTATAACCGAATTTGTAATGAATAATGGCAGTGCAAAAGTTTATACATTTTCAGCAGAATATGGTGTCTATAGTGTATGTTTATCTTTGCTTTGTTATAAGTGTGTGTTTTACCTGCCTTTCGGAGACTGGAAATTCTCACATTGATGAAGACAATCAGCAGAAACATTCTTTGTCATGTCTATTATAATTCATACAAGTACATGTGGTGTTTGTGGAAACTTTTTTTTTTTTTTTTTTTCAGTACTATTGACCGTGTTGCATGTAGTATCTGTTCATATAATGCTCTTTCAGTCTATGGAAGGCTAACGAGTCGGCTAACGAGTTAGTTAATACCACCTCCACTGAGATTCGAACCCATGAACTCTCATTTGGGAGAGTCACTTTATGCCGCTTGATTACAAGGCCTTAGCAAATTTGATTTTGATGTGGAATTGTATTGTCCTATTCTTGAATGTTCCTCACATATCTCTTTTTTTGAAAACCCTCACATATCTCTAAATCTCAAAATCTAATAAAATTTAATAACAACCAATAGTGTTAGTCATTAGTCATTAATTAAAATAAGAATTATGTTAGAAATAAATGTCTAGAGCATCAATATCAGCAGTTTTTTGTTGGTTTTTGGCAATGGAAAAAATTGGTATGGAAGAAGAACACTGATGTGGAGATCAAATTTTGGAGAAAATTTTCTAAAAGGTTTTGCAGGAGTAGACTAAACAAAAAGAAGAAAGAAATGCCCATCAAGTGTGTTTGACGTGTCAGAGTGGCCGCCAACTGGTAAAAATCAGCAAAAAATCACATATAAAAAATCAATTTTTTTTTTCTCTCATTCCATATTCTCTTTCCTAATCACAATTATAAAAACTCTTAAAAAACCAAAAAAAAAAAAAAAAAAAAAAAAAACCACTATTATGGATGCTCTAATGCATTCATAAAGGAAACAATAATAACTAGGGATGACCACGGTTCGAACCGAACCGTGCACTGTAGAAACCAAACTGGAACCCATAGGGTTTCGCTTCGCTAAAATCAGGAACCGGAACTGCCGGTTCTGGTTTGGAACTGACCGGCCGGGGTCGGTTCCGATTCCAAATCGGAATTTTTTTTTTTCTCTTTTTAAAGAGAAAAGGAAAGAAAAGAGAGAGATGTTGTAACTTGTAAACACTAAGCATTTCAGTACTAAATACAATATTAGAAATGATGAAAAATTATAAAATTATATCATTAGTTAATAAAGTGAAAAATTATAAAATTATATTGTTATTCAATAAAATGTTTTGTATTAGAGTCTAAAACATTTTATCATAAATTGATTTTTTTTAGCAATAAAGGCCAATAGGCCATACTATGATACTACTATACTAGTATATGAATTTCATTACATTTTATATTTACCACGAGTGTTTGTTAACTTTGTATAATATTAAAATATTTAAAACTTTATATTTATTATTTGTTAACTTTTTATAATATTAAAATATTTAAAACTAAATAAATATAAATATATTTATACTAAATATATAGACATTTTTAAAAATTATAGAATGATAAAATTAATTGTAGAATTTGGACATTTTAAAATAGAACATATAATTTTACAAAAGAAAAAAAAAAATCTTGTTTGAACCGGCGATTCAAATCGGAACCCCTAGTTCACGAACCGGAATTGGAACCGGAACCTTTATATAAACTTGCGGTTCCGGTTTGGTCATTTGTGGAATCGGAACCAGTCGGTTCTGATTCCAAATTGAAATTCTTTTTTTTTTTTTTTAAGGAAAGAAAAGAGAGAGATATTGTAACTTGTAAACACTATAAGCACTCCAATACTTTTTCTCCCAAATGCTCTGTCGGACCGGGATGTAGGGGCCTTTAAGGTTGGGGTTCAACCTCTTTTGGAAGAATATTGGAGATGATTAAAAAATTTGAAATTATATCGTTATTTAATAAAGTGAAAAATTATAAAATTATATTGTTATTCAATAAAATGTTTCGTATTAGAGTCTAAAACATTTTATTATGAATCGATTTATCTAGCAATTAAGGCCAATAGGCCATACTATGATACTACTATACTAGTATATGAATTTCATTAAATTTTATAGAGAAAATTTCAATTTTAGTCCACTGACTATTGGGGTTGTGTTAATTGCAACACCTGACTTTCAAAAGTGTTAATTTAGTACTTTGACTATGCAATTTTTATCAATTTTGGTCACTCCGGCCGAATTTCCGGCCAAATGTGACCGGAAAATTTTTAATCAACAATTAATCTTAAATGAAATGGGCAAAATAGTCATTTTATGTTAACTCTGAATTGGGAAAGTGATGCTTGGTGATTCCGGCGATGACGACGATGAATCCGACAGCCTGGTTGTGTACGACGATGAATCCGGCTGCCACGCCACCATAGACGGCAATGACCCCTCCAGCTTGCCATGAGCGGCGATGACCCCTCTAGCTTGCCATGAGCGGTGATGACCCCTCCAGTGTTTCTCTTCTGCCCTTAGGCTTCGCCATAACATCGATGGTTCCCACCGCGGCGGTGGCCCAGCCCTTTAAAAAGGGATGCTTGTCGGAATTCGGTTGCCTCCTCACCTTCGAGCTACAGGTTTTGGCTAGCACCTTCCCGACGACGAAGCTCAACCTCTCCAGAGTCACCGCCATTAACCACCACCTCTGCAACACAGTCGCTGCAGGTTTTGGCCAACACCATCCCGACGGCGAAGCTCAACCTCTCCAGCGTCATCGCAATCAACCACCACCTCTGCAACACAATCTGAGAGGGATGTCGGAGAAGAGGATCACGGATGTGGTTGAAGCCATTGTTGCCAATTTTTTTGGTCTAAATGCTTTGGAGCCGTCGAGGGGTAGAAAGTGAAACCGCCCGCCGACGAGAGGGATGTCGGAGAAGAGGAGCAGTGGAACACGGATGTGGTTGATGAAAAGATGAAAAGAGAAGAAGAACAGATGCACCTGGAAGAAGCACGATGGAGAAGAAGAACAGAGAAGATGAAAAGACCAACTTGCCCTCATTATGTTACTATTAAAAATTTTCCGGTCACATTTGGCCGGTAATTTGGCCGGAGTGACTAAAATTGATAAAAATTGCATAGTCAAAGTACTAAATTAACACTTTTGAAAATCAAGTGTTGCAATTAACACAACCCCAATAGTCAGTGGACTAAAATTGAAATTTTCCCAATTTTATATTTATTACGGAGTGTTTGTTAACTTTGTATAATACTAAAATATTTAAAACAAAATATATAGGCATTTTCAAAAATTTTAGAATGATAAAATTAATTGTAGAATTTGGACATTTTAAAATAGAACATAAAATTTTACAAAAAAAAAAAAAAAAAAAAATCATGTTTGAACTGACGGTTCAAACCGAAACCCCTGGTTCACGAACCAGAATTGGAACCGAAACCTTTATATAAAATTTTGGTTCCGGTTTAGTTATTTCTGGAACCAGAGTCGCTGATTCTGAACTGGAATCGGAACTTTGATCATCTATTCATCTCTACTAATAACTTTTAAAACATGTAAAAGTTTGCTTATTCTGTACATTTCTACGAGTTTTATTTAGAGTTAGATAAAAGAGAGAATTTTATGAAATGTGATATAGTACGAACGTGTCCATCAATTTGATATCATTATCTTCCTTGGACTACCAACAACTACTGTGGCTGAATTTATTGCACATGTAGGTGATGCATTATAGGGATTGCAGCATTAAGTGATGAACCAAGTGTAGAGAGAACCCATGAACATTTGAGTGCTGATAAATGAGTCATGAGTCTCTTTTGGAAGACCACTATCCTGTTACATTCTTTTGTGCTGTTTGGCCTATTTGCATTTTTGCCACCAACTTTCATTATTAATATTGTTGATTCAATATTTAATTGGTGTAGTACCACTGGATTTCTTTATTCTTAGACATTAGTAGTGCAAATATTTTCTACATCTATGGTTTTATACGAGGAATTAGGTCAAGATGAAATTTAAAATGACAAAAATATTAATTAGTCTGACTTAGAAGTGTAAAACGAACAGGTTAATTCGAAGTTTAGTCCACGGTCAACTTGTTTGGGTGGGCCAGTCTATTTACTGGTCATTTTTAAACAAAAGGCATATATTCTTCTCAACAAGAGCATTTGGGAGGTTCAGTACCGCTGATAAGACTCGATTTGTGGTCATTCTTCCCAAACTTTACTACTATGACCAGTTGAGCTGTCCATGGGCAAAAAAAAGAAAAAAAGGCATATATTAAGAGTGTGCTTGGTTGTGGACTTTTTCACCCTATTATGATTTTGAGACAAATTATTATGTGGACTATGGTTGACATAGTGCTATGTGCACCATAACAAAAAAACATTTTTAGTATGCTAAAAGTACACTATTTGTATATTGAATGTATATTATACAAAATAATGTACTTTTAGTACTCAAATAATGTACTTTTCTTGAATATAATGTATATTTTTAATATACTACAAGTAAAAATACATTATTTATATACTGAATATACATTACTTGATAGTATGATCTACACAGTTGTGATTGATTTCCCCTTGCTGTAAATATCTAAGAAGTACATGGTGTAAAAAGAATTTAACAATGAATCTTAGCTTTTCCATGCAACAGATGAATATTCATTATCATATATTGGAACTATAACAATATTCACAAATCACAAATTTAATCAAACTTTATGTACATCATATCCTCAACAAATTAATCCAATATGTTCTTGCATCATCAACACACAAACCAAATGAATAGAGGCAAAACGAAAAGAAAGAAAGCAGAGAAAATCAACCCACCCTTCTAGTTTGCAAATGTATCAAGAAAAACATTCCTGTAGTACTATACCTAGGACAACAACCACTGATCATGCAACAAACCAACAGCACAAATTTGGCAAAAAATAAATAAATAAAATGAGAATAAAAGAGCACACTTGACAAGTATGTTACTACTTGCGATTTCTGATCATTATATATATATATATATATATATATATATATATATATATATATATATATATATATATATATATATAGCCATTGTTACCTCTTTCTGCTTCTTATTTTGTTTCGGTTTTTGGACTGGGGGATTTCCCAATGATTGCTTTCTTTGCTTTGACGAGCGTTTGCTTAACCTTTGACATGATGTTTGATTGCTTTGCCTTCACAAGAACAACGTTATCGTCTTTCTTGTCATTGCCATCTTTGGATTCGTCGTGTTTTGCAGCTTCAGGAGCCCGAGCCACCTCTTCTTTCACTTGTGTCTGTGGCTTTTGGGCGTCTTCAATTGCTGTGGCTGCATCTACCTTCTTCTCCACTTCTGTTGCCTCGGCTTCTTTATTTTCAGTGTCTCGAGAAACAGTCTTGACTTGAGCAGCTTCCTCTGGAGGAGGATTTTCAGATGGTTCGATAGTTTTTTCTTCCTCGTCCTGATCAATTTTCTCTTGTTTTTCTTCTACTTCTGCAGTCTCCTTAGCTTCCTGCACTTTCTCGACTTCTTGATCAGTTTTTGGTGCAGTAAGTTGGTGTTGTTTTGTCTCGGTTTGTGTCTCTTGCTCTAAGCATTGAGCAAGCTGAGGTAGTACTAGTTGAGGTTCTTCGACGTCTTCAATTTTGTCAGCGAAAACCTCTGCCTTCTGGGGAGTGGTAACCTGCTCCAGGGGTTTTTCGGTTACTGCAGTTTCCTCTTTCACAACAACAGCGGGTTCTGGAGCTTCCGAATCTTGTTCTTTAGCTGGCAGTTTTTCTTCCTGCCCTTTCGTTTCTTGGACTGTTTTTGGTTCAGGAACCGGAACCTCGACTGTTTTTGGTTGCCCCACTACTTGGTCAGCATCCTTTATCGATTCGTCTAGTGGCTTTTCGACATCTTCTTCAGCTGCCACGGGTTTGGCCTCGTGGTCGATTGGTATTTCAGGAGTGGTTTGATCAGGCTCCTTAGCAGCCTCTTCAGTAGAAGCTGGAATCTGGTCTTCAATCTTTTCTTCTGGTTCAATTGAAGGGACTTGAAGACTAATTTGCTGTTCTTCTTTAGGCTTCTCTTCCTCTTCCTCTTCAACTGTTTTTGCAATTACAGGCAATTCATCACAAATAGGCTTCTCTTCCACAATGCCCTTTTCCACCTCTTCAATGGCACCTAAATCCTCAACTTTAGGCTTTTCTTCAACATCATCACCTGTTTTCACCTCTTCAGTTATGGCTAACTCCCCCTCACCTTTAGGTTTGGCTTCCTCGTCGGGCTTTTTCGCCTCTTCTTCAATGGCAGCCAACTCCTCACCCTTATCTTCAACTTTTATTGCCTCTAAAATTACAGGCAATTCATCACAACTAGGCTTCTCTTCCTCATTGCCTTTTCCCAAGTCCTCAACTTTGGGCTTCTCTTCATCATTGCCTTTTCCCAAGTCCTCAACTTTGGGCTTCTCTTCATCATTGCCTTTTCCCAAGTCCTCAACTTTGGGCTTCTCTTCCTCATTGCCTTTTCCCAAGTCCTCAACTTTGGGCTTCTCTTCCTCATTGCCTTTTCCCAAGTCCTCAACTTTAGGCTTCTCTTCATCATCAACATTAGTTGTTTTCACCTCCTCCATAATGGGTAATTCCTCGCCCTTAGGCGGCTTCGCTTCCCCGCCCTCTTCAACTACAGCAGCTAAATCCTCACCTTGAGGCTTCCCTTCACCATCCTCGGCTTTTTCCACTTGTTCGACGACACAAGGCAATTCCTCACCTTTAGGCTTCTCGTCCTCAATGCCACTCTTCTCCACTTCAATTACCTCACCTTTAGGCGGCTTCTTCTCTTCCTCAATGCCACTACTCTTCTCCACTTCAATTACCTCACCTTTTGGATTCTCTTCCTCGCCCTCACCCTCGGGTTTCACCTCTTCCTCCCCCGCCTTCTTCTCATCTTCCACCACCACCTCACTAGTTGGAGGAGGAGGAGGAGCTTCACCATTTTTCTCTACTTCCTCGCCTTTCACCGCCTCCTCCCCGCTTTCCTTAAGTTGATGAGGCGCAGCGACGTTGTCTTGTTCCATTGTTTTAACTTCCTTCTCTGCCTGCTACAATAAACACATATGGGGATATGATCATTCACAAATTAAACTATCCTAGGAAGAGTAAAACCGAAGCAACCTCCTGCTATCAAAAGTAAAAGTAGTCATACAAAAGATGAAACAAAAAGTGTAAAAGGCAAAATATTATACACTCAATAACAAGATGCTAACAAAACTCCAGCTAGGCTAGTAGGCTGCTTCTTGGAGAAGAAATTAATTAAAGTATACAAAATTTCATCTTTGGGGGTTTCAACTTTCTATCATCAGCCAGCTAAAAGCTATTATTAGGTGGAAATTAAAGCATGAAACTCATAAAATAAGTAAAAGCCTTAGCTTTACCTTCCCAGCTTGCTTCTTTATCAAGCTAAGATTTTAACCAAACAGCCAAAAACTTAATTGTACTAACTTTCCTTTTACCAAAATTTATATCATTTCATATAACCTGCCCTGATGATCTGCTTTAATTAACTCACAAATTTATACTAAGTACCCAATGAATACCAACATTTTTTATGCTGCTATCTGTTAACTATATATCAAGCAAGAGCTTCAAAAAGTTTTTTTTTTTTTTTTTTTTTTTTTTTTTTTCTAACCAAAATATTCAAGAAAAGGAAACAAAAACACATAACTGTTGAAGCAGAAGAAAGGGTCTTTCTCAAAATTCTCATCAGTTCAGATGATACATATATATATACATGTAAAGTATATATGTATGCACATATAAATATACCAAAGAGAAGGGGAAAACACTGTAAAGAAGGTTACCTCAGAGGGATGAACAGAAGGAACTGTAGATTCATCAGTAGCCATGGATGATGGGTATGATTGAATCAAAGAAAAAACATAAAAAAGGATCGGAGGTGAGAATGATGATCTTCTTGCTACTATACAGAGATCCACTACTCAACAGGTTTTGAATGAAAAGAAAGGTGTATTTGTATAGTATGGTAGAAGATGGGTACTAGCTAGAAAGGGAAAAGGATGATGATCTGGTAGTATGTTCTGGTTGGCAACAACCCAAAAAGGCTCTCAAAGCAAAGTACACCACTCCACTCCAACCTTTGATAAAATTCTGGTATGCAGAATAATTGATTAGTTGTCTAACTAAATTAATATCTAGTAGCGACAACAGTATGTACATTAATTTCTTGATTTTTTTCTTTTTTCGTCAAACACCAATAATGCTAAATGCACTGTATTTACTACATTTCAATTGATTTTAATTTGTATAAGTAGAATCTGGTCAATCTTGACTCTTGCCTTAAAAGGTTCAATTTCCAACTCCACGGGTCTGATGGAGCATTTGGAAGGATGTAAACCACAGTAATTCTGTAGCTCAATTGACATGGTCAAATGCAGGTGCGCACAAGGGATCAGTTCATTTTGGGCATATAATCCCCACACTGCCGTTGCCGAGTTTTGAACTTGGTCTCTTGCATCAAATATGGCCTACTGAACCAGTGAGTCAAGCCATGGTTAATTAATAGGATGTTTGGTTGCAGGTGGCTATTAAGGGGGAAATGAATTGTAATTCCATGAGAGAGAAATATTGTGAGAATAAATTGAGAATTTAAAATTTAATGTTTGGTTTGTCAAATTACTAGGAATTTCAATTCCAATGTTCATTATCCATGAGAATTGAAAGGGAATAAATAGTATAAAGACTAAAATATGATACTCATACTAATTATAACAACAAATGAAACATTAATTATAGGTTAGAAAAAAAAAGTGTTATAACAGAGTCAGTAATATTAAAAAAAAAAAGTGTAATTTGTCTCAAAGGTATTTTTTTTCTTCTCAAAATTCACAAAATTGAAATGCAAGAGGAGGCATGAGATCCAAATTAAAATATCAAATAAATTAAAGAAATTTGCATGAGAGTGAAATTGTAATTCCCCCATTCAAACGGACTATATTAGGATGTCCTAATATTTTGTATTAGAGTTCACTGTCATAATATTTGCATTCAATCGTAAGTATTACATTATCTTATAATTATCGTTATTTTTTCAATAAGATTACTTGAGTTGGTAAGTACAGTTTACATAATGGACTAGATACAACTTTCGCAAGCGACAATAATATATCTTGACCTTACTTTGAATTTGAATTGGAATAGCTCCTATTCATCCAAACTTTAATATATGAAAAAGAGTGATGCTATCAACCTCTTTAAAATTTTCTCTTTTTAATTTTCTATTGAAATGACACTTTTTCATTGAACAATTTAATCATTGGTAACAAGTTATTAGAATCAATGAATTTATGACACCCATTAATTATAAATCATATCAGGACGATTTTAGAAGAATAAAATTTTGGAGGAAACAAAGCATTTTCCTATTAACAATTAATTTTGATTAATTTTGAATCCTAAAGGGAGTTAATTTCATTTTTGGTCTTAGATTTATAAGTGACAATTCACTTTAAGTCTTTTTTTTTTTAATTATTATAACATCCGCATTTAGTCATAATATTATTATGATATGATCATTTTTCGTTCTCGTCAACAAAAATCATTAAATAAATCGAGCCGAGCTCGAGTTCAAATATTTTAAGTTCGTGACTCATCAAACCACCCTTGAGCCCCTCAGTCAGAGAGCTAATAGCACTTCCACTAAGGCTTGAATCCACAACCTCTCACGTGGGAGTTCAATTTGGTACCATTAGACCACAAGGTCCTTACTGAGTAACATTAACTTTGATTTACAGGAAAGCTTGCTAGGGGTAGCATTAGTTAATCTCTATAATTAAATGATTCACTTGACCATTTTTACATATTTTATGAACCAAAATGATATTTAGAGGGTGTTTGGTAAATGACTGTTAGCTGATTGAGTTAGTGGGTTTGACTAGTTGATAGCATTAACTGATTGTAGAAAAGTGTTTGGTAAATTAGTTGTTAGCAGTTAGCTGATTACATACAAAATGACTTTCTCAAAAAGCTGATCAAAAAAGCTACTTTTGAGTAGTTTTTTTAATTTTAGTATTTTGGAGCAATACGTTGTTACAAAAAGTTAATTAATCAAACACTCATATTGATTGTTTAACCAAGTCAAACAACTAATAGTGATCAAATAAGTCAAAATTAACTAATAGACTAACCAATATTTCACCAAACACGGCCTTAACCTATTATATTATGGTGACATTAATAATGAACTTAAAAAAAATACTCCACCAGTTGTTGATAATTAATTGATTTAATCATTTCTATCGTGCGAAAGCAAATGTCATACATAAGTGTTCCACATCGTTGCTAAATTGGAATCTTGACCATCAAACCTATTAACATGAAATTCTAATAGGTGGAAAGAATGAAATTCTAATAGGAGCTCTGTCGGGTCGGAGTGTGGGATCTTTGAGGTTGGGGTTTAACTTTTTGAAAAGAATGAAATTCTAATAGGAGACCAATATGACAATAATTGAGGAAATGGACAAAATTAACAATAATGCGAAACAATTAAGATAATATTTACGTATACATCGTTGAAATATTTAGCATAAAATGGTATAGAAAGTGACTATTTTGTGGTACAAATATATGTGGGGTCCACTTTTAATTTGGGTCGGATTAAAGTAAATTCGAGTTCTTCGCAGTTAGACGAAAAGATTAATATATTGTACGCTCAAAACGGGTAATGGGTTAATGAGAAATTGATTATCAAAGTAGATCCATTTGAGTTGAAAAATGATGGTGTAAAGACTTTGTAAAAGCATTTGTTCCACCTTGGTTTGGGAAGTGGGTTTGCACCACTATATATACAAGAGTCTTTTAGAGGCATGTTGAATTGTATAGCATAGAGACTCACAACGGGTGTTATCTCTATTGACTATCAAAGGATAATACTCTACCAAAAAACCAGTAGAGTCAACATATCATCACAATACAAAGTTCAAAGGGTAACACCTAACTATGCTATGCAAGGATCGACCGCAGAGCACATCCATGTGATTTTTCCACATCTCGAAAATCAATTTTCATTCCCCACGAAGAGATTGATATATTGTACACTCAAAACGAGTAATAAGTGAATGAGAAATTATTGCTTAATGATTCAAATGTCGGTTAACATGTATGAATATGCGGGATACTCGAAAAAGAATCACCTATGTGAGAGAGAGCACACCCATGAGAATAGAATAATGGAAGGTTCCTGTGTGGGATGTGTCATCGTCTACATAAACAGCACTATACCAAAAAACCAGTAGAGTCAACATATCTTCACAAGGTAAGGTTCAAAGGATAACACCTACCTATGCTATACAAGGATTAACCGTAGAGCACATTCATGTCGTTTTTCCACATCCCAATCCCGAAAATCAATTTTTATTCATGTGGGGGATTGTTAGAATTTTTAGCATAAAATGACATAGAAAGTGGCTATTTTGTGGTACAAATATATGTGGGGTCTACTTTCGATTTGGGTCGGGTCAAGATGAATTCGGGTTCTTCGCAGTGAGATGAAGAGGTTGATATATTGTATGCTCAAAATCGGTAATTAGTGAATGAGAAATTGATTCTCAAAGCAGACCCAGTTGAGTTGGGAAATGAAGGTGGAAAGACTTTGTAAAAGCACTTGTCCCACATTGGTTTGGGAAGTGAGTTTGCACCACTATATATACAAGAGCCTTTTGAAACATGTTGAATTGTATAGCATAGAGACTTTCTTTTGTGCTCAACTTAACTTGTGTATGACCGCACCTATGGGAAAATTGGTTGGATCCGAGTGTTTATGTGACTCTTTTATTACACGAAAAATCTCCACCACTCAAACACTAACTCTTTTATTACACGAAAAAATCTCCAACACTCAAACACTAAAGTCGTAATACTCACGACTTGGATTTCTCTTTTTTCAAGTTGAATTTAAACTTTAAACCTCAGATTTGAAAATTTTATTATCGTTATTTATATATTTTATATAAGTATTTTTGGTTCCGTACCAAACGTTGGTTGAAATTAATTTTCTAAAAATTAAATTTTGTTTATATATATATATATATATATATATATATATATATATATATATATATATATATATATATATCCTTATCCATCACCAACATACATGATATTAAATCATTTAATCGTTAACCGTCATTCAGGATTAAAAACACATTTTATATATAATTTCAAAGTTGAAATACAAGTGGGTACATAAAAGTGTAAAAATGGGAGTAATATATAATAAAATGATATTATGGTATAACGTTATAGCGACCTAACAATAGAAATTGGCCTCGGCCTTTAGAAACAGGGTGGACTGATGCGCACATGATGGATGATCTGTCAGCAGTGTGGTGTGGGAATCATTTAACTAACCACGAAAAAACAAAGGCAAGAAAATAATCAAATTATTATTAGAAAGTGGCACTCAAAAAGAAATTTTCAATATGCATATAGACATTTAATTCTGAATTATTAAATCCTTTACATAAAATATTATGAGATATTGTTGTCACTTTTGTCACTTGCTTTATTATGGGGACCATTTAAATGGTTAATTGCCTAATTTTATTTTATTTTCTTCTGTTTTGGGTGGCATGGGGGTGGGGGGATAACAGTTGTCTAAGTTGTCGGTTTTTGAATTGGAATTAAAGATCCTTTTAAATCATCTTTCATCCAATTTTCTTTCTTTTGCATCGGCTGTGTGGAGTTGGTCTTACCAGAGAATCTCGTTTATATGGTCCTACAATTGCACTATTATTATTACATTGATATTGATTTCTAAGACTATGATGTCCCCCCACCCCCTTAGTTTAAATTGATAATAAGAGTATACACTTATTATTTTATATATCTTTAGTTTTGAAAAATATAATTGTGATTCCCGTGATTTTTATGAAAATAACATAATTTAAATGATATGTTTTATCTTAAAAGTTTAAATTGCTAATAAGAGTATACATTTATTATTTTATATATCTCTAATTTAGAAAGACATAATTGTGCTTCCCATTATTTTTATGAAAATAAATAAGAAAAGGATCAAATAAGCCCTAAACTTTATATAAAATTAAATGAGAAAAAGGGTAAAAAAAAATGTTTATTTGCGGCATAAACACC